CCCCAAAACCCCAAAACCCCAAAACCCCAAAACCCCAAATAGCCAAATAACCAAGAAATATCTCAATTCAATATTTGTATCTTATGACGTGGAAATGTTCATCAAGGTTTAGGAATCTTCGGAAGAGCTCTTCTCTATTATCTGAGAGATATCTGAGCTTGAAGCATACTCCTCTACAGAGCTTTCCTCCTCAGATGAAGGAGTGGGACTCTCTGAATCTTTTTTCTCCCTTCCTTCCGATAGTTTAATCTGATCTGCCGAGATTCCGATCGAAGGTTTCTTTGATTTTTCATCAGAAGAACTTTTCTCATCTTCAATTTCGGGAGTGTTTTCATCCTTCGGCTTGTCTATAATCGGTGGCAAGGGCTTTGTGTATCCTTTTGGCAAAATAGTGTAGGATCCATGCTCAGAAGCTAGACCATGAGGTAGGTTAATATTCCTAATGTAACCACCTTTGTTTATACTATGTATGCCAGGCCTTACGCTCTTTTTCCTGAATGTGCTTACAGGATCTTTATGGGCCAGTTCTTTAGGTATTCCTAACAATAATGTTCTCTCTTTCTTTTGCATTGCTTGTTGTCTCACTGTCGCATACATACTTCGAGAGTTCTGTGCGCCTGGAAGGATACTAAATGCATCCATCAACACTTGGGTATTGAAAGATAACCAAGAATTTTTGAATTCAACTGGAAAGTTGTATCATCTAACATCATCTTTAGCCACATATTGAGTGTCTATCGGATAAATGAATTTGTAATTTTTGATTTTTATCTTATGATGTGCTCCAAGTTCTTCTTCGCTTCCACTAAGATAATTTCTTTCATTTTCGAGCTTGTTATCTTCAGTGATTTGCTCAATGCTTCCTTCAAATAGGATTCCTCCATTAGGAAATTTGACAATTTCACCAGGTTCATATCATTGATATTGAGAATTTTTCAGCAAAAGTTTTAGCTGTAAGAAGTCTAACTCCTGTAGTCTTTCAAACTTGTCTGGGTTCATCTGAATAATTGAAGGTCCTATATAGTTCCATATCTTTTTCTCTTGATCCCTATCAGTGATCAGACCTCTAAATGCAGATATAGGAAGGCTGCTAACAGTGCACACAGTTCTTGCATAACAATTTGTGAACGATCTTCCTTCATCTTTTGCAATGAATTGCAGTCCAAGTATATCGCCTGGCTTGCTCTTGATCTTTGGGGCATCAGGGTCATCCACAGCACCGTTTTTTTCATATACTATTCCTCTTGAGAGATAGTAGAGGTTCTTCATCATTTCATCCTTACGGATAATAACTTCACCCTTGTTGTAAGTTTTCTCCTTCAAATTTTCAGATAATCTCTCTCGATGTTCTCTTGGAAAAATTTTTGCTATCTCTCAATTGTCAATGAAATCCACGTTCACATCTTCAAAATCAATTTTGAGTTTGTTCAATTCAAGATTTCTATTGGTCTTGTTTAGCTCATGCAAGAAATACTTGGCTTCTTTAAAGTCAATCTGTCCATTTTCAATCATTTCATTGACAAACCCTTTCATTTTATTGATTAGATAAAATCCACCACGTTTGTTTTGAACAGCTTTTATAACCTCTGGGAAGTTTTCCTCGAGATCGTCATTTAGCAAATCTTCTGCGTATCTGAGCTCCTTCCTTACTTCAGCATTGAGTTTCTCTAGGATCTCCTCATTCTCAACAATTTTAGTGATAAGTTCCATGCATTCCTCATGTGCCTCAATATAGTTAACTGTGACATCATAAATAAATGACATGTTACTATATAGAAGGTTTTTCACAAGATGTCTTATAAGTCACATATTTTTGAGCTTTAGTAATGCCTGAATCCACCAACTGCTGTTGAAGTAGGTCTTGATGAAATGGAAGTCCCTTAGCTCTTCTTCACTATGATCAAGACCTCTGTCTGCACTCTCTATCAGAACTAAGCATGTTCTTGATGAACATTGACCATCTTCAAAGAAGTCCCAATATATACCTTTCAAAGTTGTGAGGTATCGATGTTTAGCTTCTTGGTAGAGTTCATCTAACGTATAATCTCCCTGTTCATCTATAATTATGTCATTGTTGGCAATCTGAGACGAAGCTAACATATCTGCTTCTTCATTAACAATGTTTCGTTGAGTAAATATTCTCTTTTGAATCTTATTAGACTTTGCCATATCTTTGAGAACGTCCACGTCAATCCGATCAAAGTTCTTTTTACCTTGTATCTCTTCAAGAGTGATGCCAACTTCTTTCTTGTATGCTTTCAGCATATTTTTGAGCATCTTCTTTTTGGCTTCGCTCATTCTCATCAATCCTAGCTTTCTTATCAGAATTCCCATAGTACTTCCATTAATAACCAAAGTCATGATTGCGATTCCTGCAGTATGGAAAATAACCACGTCCTTAATGTATTCATTCACTTCTGAATCAAGGAATACTATCAATGAGAGAACCAATGATACTGCTCCTCTGAGGCCTGAAAACCCAAGAACTGTGGCTTGAGCCCACGTGAGGCCATAACCAAGCTTGCTCATTGGCCATTTCAAGGAGTAGATCATTCCCATACGAATGATATGAAGAATGATGTACAAAGCAGGAAGCTTTAACCAATCTTCCCATTCTATTCTTGAGTTTCTTTCAAATACCTTTAGAGCAATAATTGTTCCAGCTATCATGAAAACTAATGTTTCACATGCAAATCCTAAGTAACCCCAAATATGATGAAGTGTCTCTTCGGATTGGTGGCTGATCCTCGTTTTCCCGATCTTTGTCATGTATAGTCCAAGTCCTACAAGTGCTAAAATTCCTGATACTTCCAGTTCCCAGCTCTCGGCAACGTAGAAGACCATATAAGCTCCAACGATAGTCAGGTTTGTTTCAAGGATAGAGTTGTTAACTATTCTCTTCAACCATAATGAAATGATGATTCCGAATACAATTCCGAGTAGGGGTCCTCCGAACGACAATCTGGCAAAATTGAGGACAACTCCTCCTACTTCAAATTCTTTTCCTTTCACTAATTCAAGCGTTACTGAGAACATAACGTAGGCTGTCCCGTCATTCACCAAGCTTTCACCTTCAATCATTGTGGAAAGAGTTCTGGAAGCTCCTAGCTCTTTGAGCAAAGAAACTACTGCAACCGGATCTGTTGCTGAGATGAGAGCTCCAAACATGATGGCTCCTTCCCAAGTAAACTCTCCATCGTATTGTAGGATATACCTCATGGCCAATGCAGTCAAGAAAGCATTGACTACCAAGCATGGCCCAGCTAAGATCAAAACTTTAGAAATCTCAGTCTTGATAATGTGCCAATCGATCGAAAAGGCTGATTCAAAGATCAATGGAGGAAGGAAGATCAAGAAGAATGTGTGTGGGTCAATAGCCGAGATCAAGTCAGCTCCTTTCCCCCAGTTTCCTAATTCTATTTATTATATGTTAAAAATACCTTTGTATGCAAACCCTATAACAAGTCCGACGATCGCAAGTAATGGGGTGTATGGTAGCTTTGTCTTGTTTGCAAAATGTTTGATTATCTGACCTAGCAAGAGGCCAACCAGAACATATAGCATGATATGATTTCCAAGTGAATGATCATGCCCAGCCGTAATCCCAGAACCCTCTGTATGTTCAGATGTGGTTTCTGACAATTCACGTACTATATACTGAATTTCCATAAATATTAATTAATTGCTTCCTGATTTTCAGCGATAAATAGACCAGCCGGGGTTTTGGGGTTTTGGGGTTTTGGGGTTTTGGGGTTTTGGGG